TTCTGTTACATGCTGCAGTGCTTCACCTACCATTAATGGGCAACCCCTGTTGACTTTGTGTAACTGCAGCCTCCCTGAGCCATGAATAGCCCTGCTCTAGTGTTTTGTTTGTGGATTCCTTTTACTTATAATCTGCAGAGTTTCGACTAACCTGAGTCGCTGGATTTTCCAGGACAAGCGAGTCGAGAGCGACGGTGCAGAACACRCATGTCTTTCCTGTGCCGGACTTGGCTTGGACGATCAAATCTGAAACAAAATGAGTAATTAACTAAAACAAACAAACACTTTTAACCAAGTGAAGTGAGTAGTTATGTTGCTTTGGTTGTTATTTCAACAAACTTAAGGAGTTCAGTTCCTGTAATGTACAACTGCTGACTATRAGTTCACAGTCCAAGTTTATTTCATCGAATGAGTGCTTTACACATATTTTGAGGCCACTATTTCAAAAATAAAAATGCATTGATTCAATAATACTGCTTATGTAGGGATATTCTGTTTTATTTTAACAGATTTATAAATATTTGTTGGTGTCAAAACTGCAGCAAAGAAAAGCTGGAATATCATCGCAGTGCATCCAAAATAATAAACCAACTGTTACTGGTACACACAGGGCAGATGGAGGTTGGTACTAAGGCCTTTAAAAGTAGTGTTCAAATAAGAAGTTTCTTCTCGTACAAAACTAGGTTATGACTGTTTTAGACACACACCTGTGATTTAGCATAAATCTTATCAGGTGTTTCTACAGTTTGCAGATCCAACCAGATGACTCTTCTTGTGTCTAAAATTATTTCCATCAACACAAAAACTGATCCTCTGATWGTAATCCCTCAGATTACTGAGAGCCATCTGTGAAAAGAGGATTTTGAAATGCTGTCATTCAACTCCAGACTTTGATTACCATGTTAAAGTTAGCCTACACAAAGCATTCAGAACTATTAATGAAATTCCATCACGTCCAAGAATATATTAAAATATGGAATTTGCTCTCATTTATGTCGGCAGTAAAAACGGTCACATTTGAAGGCAGRGTGTAAATTACAAAGAGAAGTAATTTAAGTCAAAGCTGGTTATGGAAACTAAAAATCAATCTGCCCAYAGAGGTATTGATTGCAATAAACACAAAGGAAGTGCTACAAGTATAACCCCCAAAATGTAAACAAAACAGAATATGATAATTACAAAGCTAATGAGCCCATATTTTGTTCCTATAGTAAACATATCAAATGTTTAAATTAAGAAATTTGATCATTTTTAAGGTGAAAAATGGGGGGATTTTTAATTCGACGGCAGCAACACGTCTCAAAAGAGTTGGGACAGAGGGGTAACAAAAAGCTGTAAAATTAAATGGTGTGAATAAGAAACAGGTCGAGGAGCTCTTTTACTCTAAGTTATTTGGCAAAAAGGTCATCAAGAAGAATGGGTAWATAAATGGAAAGTTATTGACAAATTCATACATGTAGTCTTTTAGTTAGAACCTAAAACTAATGACAGCTTTTCTATGACATGATAAAAAAAAGTCATTTTATGGCTTGATCAATTTTTATGTTAAAAGTGAATAAATCTAGAACAAAAAATATTCAAACAACACAAAACAAATTCTCAAACCTACTTTTAAAAAGTCCAACAAAAATTTGCATTTATTTTCTTCCCATATAATATAAAGGCTAGAATAAGCGATCTCCACATGTTCACAAATAAGACAGAAATGATTTGAAGCACAAACTGATTGATCACACAACACATGCAGTCCAACCTCCACACACACACACACACACACACACACATGACAGAACGCAGACTCACCCAGTCCGCAGCGGCCCAGCGGGATCGCTTTGAGCTGGATCGGGGAGGGTTTGTGGAAGCCGGAGGCGGACAGTCCGTCCAGCACGGYCTGAGACAGCAGCAGCGAGCTGAACTCGATCCCCTCTGACAGAAGCACATCGTCGGTCCTTTTTCGCGTTTCGATGTCGTGAGCCGCTCTCCTCACGGAGGCAGCCATGTTGGATTGTTTACCGGCGGCGGCTGGACGGTGACGAAGTTAAGAAGCGCCTCAGAGAAAAGAAAAGCTTTGTTTTGACGCCCTCTAGCGACGTGGAGGAGAACTACACGGACAAGGCGAAACTAATCACGCTGCATTGAACATGTTTTTTTCTTTAGTCATTTTTGGTTCATAATAAGACATTTCGTAATTATTTACATTATCCCTTTTGGGTTCCCAATTCTTACTGATAACAGAGTTAAAATTAACAACTCATATTTACTTGTTTCCAAAATGTCATCAGTTACAAAAAGTCTTTCAGGGTGAAGGTGGTCGAAAAAACTAATAACAAATCTACCTGCATCTTAAGACTTTTGTAAATGAAAAACTATTAACCACTGTATTTGTGAAGTTGTTAGAAACTTCCATTCAAATAAAAATGCATTCACTTTTTTTTGACTTGCCAGTATTATTTATAAGCGAAATATTGGAACACGCTGTTCAGTTTTCACTTTGTTATATAT